AGAAGGTGTGATTTATTATGTTGGTGGTAGTCCAGAAGGGTTGATTATGTAAAGTATGGTTGCAATTGTGTGGTCGATTGTGCATCACTAAATATTATTATAATTGTTGTGTTAATTGCATTATTACCATGTCATGCATTCATTGTTGATATGTTGAAGGAGATATGTCATAGGTCCGAAGAGGGACGAAAGAGTTATCCGGAACTCAAAAGGGGGAGTTCGGTATTCTAAAGGGGGAATCGAGTTTGTATGATGAACCATTGATGAGAATTTGTACCACATGCATCATGTAATGTTGTCGAGTCTCATTGCATTATAATTATGTTGTACTTGTGCATTTGTTGTGGTAAGAATGTGATTGTGAATAAATGCGATTTGTGTGCATAAATACTACTCTCTTAATTATTATACACAGTTTATTATATGAATGAATTTCTCACCCCTTTTGTGTTTGTTGTGTTTGTGCTCCCTTTGAGTACAGACAATCAGGTATCTAAGCAGTTGGAGATTTACCTCATGTTGCTATCGGTCGAGTTTACTAGTGGAGTTGCTCTGACACGTAACACCAGAGAACAGGCTGTTTTCTTTATATTATTCTGTTACATATTTTTTAATTTTAATTAATTATTGAACCACTTTTGATGTGAGTGATTTGTTAAGGCTATGGATGTCATGCTTTTGTCTAATTCAGCTGTTTGGACTATAATTTTTTATTAAAAGAAGTAACATTTAGACTTCTTGGATTATGAAGTGACATCGTACTTGGATAGAATTAGATTTTATTTATTAATTATTGAGTCGGAAAGTAGGGTGTTTGTTTGAATCGTAGTTAAAGGGAGGGTTTTGTTATCGTCTCCACAGGGATTGCAAATATTTTGATGCTTGCCGTTCAACAACATATTGTTTCAAGAATAAGGGTTTTCAAAGTTTTGTTCATAAAATTGTCACGTTCTTAGTAGCAAAGCTTATAAATTCTAAAAAGTTATTGCTACACGATTTCTCCATATAACAACCAATATAGTAAGCTTTAAGTTCAACACAAAGCAACTATCGACCATAGACCAATTTCGCCAATCTATAAACCGATAGATGAATATTTTAGGACAAGTTTCACAAAATCTATGTCTAAATTTTTACAAAACAAGAATGGATCATTAAGAACAAAATTATTCATCATATATTAATCATCACTTGTTCACATACAAGGCCAATTAAAATAAATACATACAAGTTAATGGTAGACTACATCTACCTTTGATACAAAGGAAATTAACTATCCATAACCATGGTAGCTTGATTTACAAGTTTTATAAGAAGATGAATGATCATCCACGTCGAAGAATCGAACTCGGATGCAAATCCAGCTTTTATTTGCAAAATATCACCTTTTGGTGAAGAAATGTTGAGAAGTGGAGTTTTAGTGTGAAAATTGGGTTATGGTCCCAAAAAAATGTGAAAAGTACTTATATAATACTTTTTGAATCTGTCATGTTCGCATTACGAACCATTTCTTCGCCTATCTAACACACTTTTAGGCACCTGAAGGACCTCTGAATAGTTAAACCGTTTCTAAGAAATATACGAAGTTTGTTGTGCAAGCAATTCTTCGTACTGCGAACTACCTCGCTACAAGTTCGCACAACGAACTTATGGTCCTTTAACTACTGCCTCAAATCTGGGATGGTTCGCTGGTCCTTCACTGAGACCTCGCCACAGCGAACGTTCACTACCAGTTCGCTCAGCGAACTTAGTGCCTTTTTCTTACTACCTCTAATTTGAGAGGGTTCGCTGGGGTTTCGCCATGAGTTCACCCAGCGAACATTCGTTGCTACTCCTCGCTAGCTATTTGCATAACGAACATGTTGAATCTCTTCTTTTCCTTTGGCTTCCTTGTCCAATTACTTGCGTCTTACACTTTGATATTTTTATGCCTAATTTCTGCACAATAACACACAAATCAAAACAACCAAATGTATTTTCAACAAGATTGAAGAATAATATGATATCATGGAGTAAATCCACAAAACACAACAAAAGAGTTGAAAATGCCAATAAATAAGGATCAATTTAAAGCAAGTTTGACATTCAACAGTGTTACATTGAATACTTAAGAATCAAACACGAGAATAAAGTAAGCGTAGTAGAGATGTGAATGTTATCACACATCTAACATAACATTTGATGGTTTGAGCATATACTAGCAAATTGTGGAGAATAGATTTCGATGGTTTGGGCATGTAAAGAGAAAACCTTTAAATTCTGCGATAAACAGAGTAGATCATATGGAAATGGGTCAAATAGTTGGAGGTCAATGAAAACCTAAGAAAACTATAAGAGAAGTTATTAAAAAAGATGTCGAGCTTAATCATTTAGGGTCTGTTTGGTTCAACGGAGGGAGGGGGAGGGGAGGAAATTTAATAGAGGGGAGGGGAAGGGAGGGGAGGGGAAGGTATTTTAACTAAATATATGTTTGGTTCAAAGAAGGGGAAGGGAGGAATTTTTAACTACATATATGTTTGGTTCATGAGGGGAGGGGAGGGAATTTAAAACTAAATTACTTTTTTATCCTTACAAATATTATCATTCGTATTTAGTAAAAATAATTTTAAATAAAAATAGTTTTGAGTAAATATCACCAAATAAAAATTCCTTCAAAATGAGTTCGCAATGTTTTTTTAACTCACTGTTCATTGCAGTTTCACAAAATTTTCGAAAGTACTAGAGAATGTTATTTCTCTTACGGCATCAAAAGTTCAATTATGGTCAAATTAAACTTTATAATACATGATTGAACCAAGGTAAATTAGAGGTCCAATTTGTAATGTGATCCATATAAACTCATCATTATGTGCAGACAAAAAACAACAACCATATTGAATTTAAAGTTTTGTAAAATTTACTTTAGAACTTATCAAATAAATTTTATTTGAATAAGAAATTTATTTTATAATTACTCTCAAAGCATCAGTGACATATTCAATGTTCATGGAATAAGAAATTTGTCTGATAATGTATAACTATAATCAAAACAATCACAACTTTTAGTTAACGGCTATCGAACAATCATAATTTTTAGTTAACGGTAACCGATCAATCACCGATTATAGTTATATGTTACACGTATAAACAACATAAAATCAAAATAGAAGAATTCAACAAAATAAAAAGGAAAAAACTCACCTGAGAGCAACAATGCACATGTAGCAGCAGCAGAATAGAAGAAAAAAGAAAATGTGAAACAATAAAAAAAAAACATAAACTTAGTTTTTAATAGTTAAGACAATTTTGAAATTAAAATAAATAATTGAGGATAAATTAGAGAATATAATAAAATTTTAAACAATGAATCTCCTCTCCCCTCCAAATTCCCCAGTTTGAGGGGAGTAAAAAGTGAGTCTAGGAGGGAATTTGCTTCCCTCTCCCTTCCTTTGTAAAAAATGAACTAAACACATATTTTTATAAATATCCTCTCCCTTCCATCTACCCCCAACCAAACGGATCCTTAGATAAAAACATGATCCTAGATAAAATATTATGACAAAAGTTAATCAATGTAATAAACTTCACCTAATGAGATAAGACTTTGTTGTTATTCTAATAATGATCAGAGTATATAAGATGTACAAACCATACATGATTATAAAAATATGATGTTAATGGTTTGATTTATATTTTTTTGAAAAATAGTTTAACTAATGTTTTAATAATATTTCGTAATGGAATTTTAATTTTTTTTCGAATTTATCAATAAATTAATTTTGAAAGAAACATGTAATAGGTTTAAATAAATGATACTCCCTCTATTTCAAAATAAGTGTATATTTAAAAAAATTATTTGTTCTAAAATACTTTCCACTTTAAGTTACCATTGTAATTTTAACTTTTATCTTTCAATTATAGCTTCTAATTAATACTCTTAATTTATTACTTTCTCGTATAATATTAATGTTAATTCAAATACATTTTAAATTATCATTGCAATTTTAACTTTTATCTTTCAAGTATAGCTTCTAATTAATACTCTTAATTTATTATTTTCTCGTATAATATTAATGTTAATTCAAACACATCAGTCGATAAAGATAATTTGATAAAATCACTATTTTTTTTCTTTTATTTATTATATATATTTTTTAATTTATATAAAGAGTTCTGTTTAAGATTCAAGTCCTCACATTATTAATAATTTGTTCTAAAAAATATCTATGACAAATTTCTTATGAATATTTAATAATTTCTTTTTAAATTTAAACGGGTCAAGATGGTCATTGATGAATCAATATGTATATAAATAGTATAAGAAATGAAGATTGTCCGGAAACACAAATTTATCCTCTATAAATTTGACCTCACCAAAACAAAGACAGATGGATGTTCAAAATTTACTTTTTCTAGTTATGTCTGACTACTTACTAAAGTTATTTCTACATTTTAACTTATTGATGTCATTTCACTCTTTAATTTTTGGCTAAATTTGAAATAAACCACAATATAATATATATGGTTAAAATTTAATTTTTTATAAACAATTTTCAGATGAACCAATATTAACTCAGCCATCTCAATCAACCATTTCTGTTCAAACACTTCAACATTCTAAAAGTATTGTGTCATTTTTCAATTAGTCACATTGTTAACATTATAATATACTATTACTAATTAAAATTATACAATTGATTTAAAATAATGATGACATAAAATACAGAAAAATATACTTATTAACCCAAATACATTGAAATATATGTCTCACTTATAAATTATACATTAGTCGCTTAGTATTATCTTCGCATGGTTTTGGATTATAATCGTGACAATACAGAACACCAGTCAGGTTTTAAACCATGCAAATGATGCTGATGATTAATAACTAATATCCAGATGACTCTTGGGAAATTACTAGTAATAAACATTATACAACCAGTGAGGATTTGAACTGAGAAAACTAAAAGCACAGCAAAATGATTCTAACAAACCCTCCTGATACTAGAAATGATGTCCAATCAGTCCCCACTTGCACAGCCCTTGCAACCACAGTGAACACACTCTATAACCTTTTCCTCCCTAAGTTGCTTTGGCACTCTGCAGACACAGGTTGTGGCAAAATTGTGATCGCGTGGCTGCATGCACCTCAAACAACAGAGACGTTCATAACCAGGCTGCAGTTCAAAAACAATAACATGTTATTAGGTGTACTTGAATCCAAGAAAAGATAGTAATATTAATATACTGAAAACATGACTCTCCAATTGTTTAGGGGGATATCAATTGATAGTTAAGATGTCTTTATATCTAGCCACTATGATGAATATACAGTTATTCATGGTGTCAGAGCAACTGCCTTAGCATAAAGGCATTAGCTCACAAATTTTACGATATTCACATTATGGAGCCAGCCAATGCAGACATAAAAGCGAAAACTCATAAGTAGCCATTCACAGCTGAGATTCACACTATTTAGTTCACTCTGGTCCATCCTGACGGTGTGGAGGGAATATGCTGGAACGTTCAAAATCTTGTGCACCTTGAAAACATTTAGAGAGTTGAAGAAACTTGCAAGTGATCTAGTAATATATTGTTCAATTAGATTCAGAGTTGGAATGCTAGGGCGTGGGGTTGCAGGAATCGAGTGAACTAAAAGGGAGATCACACACAACCCGCGTTTGGAACCCAAATGCGACAAAACATGTTTGGACAGAAGTTACAGAGAATACGTTTTTGGTCGAGTAGTCATTTGAAACTTTGCAAAAGAATTACAAGACCAGGAAAATGTACTTGCTCCCACTTAAAGGCCATAATATGCCGAATGATTGTTTTTCTCTACACTGTGGTGGCTGTGAATATTAATTCTAAATGAAATAACTAGTCATACAAAAAGAATTACAAAAAAAATGTACTTTCATAAACAGCTAAGAATAGGTACCTTCTTCCATTTTGCAATTAGATTGCGGTCAGCATATCCTTGATCTAAACAGAATTCATACAATTCTTTAGAAATTTCCCTCCTCCGATGGTAGAGATCAAACACATAGCGACTCTTCTGGTGTGCAATTTTAAATATAGGCCATAAAGTCTCACATTTTCTTTTTCCATCATGCGGATCATTCTCAGCTACACATAAATGACATTACAAAAACATTACTTCAATAAATATCAGATAGAGAATTTTTATAAACAAATAAAATAAAAATCTAATAAGGCACAGATGAAATTTCAACCTTCCCTCATCTTTCCTTGAAGTTCCCGTAGCGTTGGCTCGATTAACTCCCAGCCTTCAGGGTATTTAACTCGTGATGTCTTTACTTTCGGCATTCCTTTTCTGTCAAATGAGAATATGATATAGAAGGGTTACTTTCTAGCATTCTACCAGACAACAAAAATGGCAGAATTTCATAGATTCAAGAATCACAGAAAAATTCCGAACAAGAAAATCAAAGCAAAGTGAAATCATGGAGATCAATGTTTTAACGAAAGTAAAGGCGTAAAAGAATAGTGAGATTGTGGCAATCATTAGGAGATAGTTTATGATTAGGTGGCGAGTAATTGGATTGGGGCAAAATCTCAAAACCCTAACAAAACAAAAAGATAAAAGACAGAAACTCACGAGGCAGGGGCCACTCTATTCGCGACGGCGAATACGGTGGTACGGCGGTGTTGCTCGGGATGTCGCGGGCGGAGGCAGATTAGATTAGAAGTAGCTGTAGAGTTTTCCGACCGTCGTTCTCAAGTTTCAGCTTCTGATAAATGTTCTCGCGAAATTGAAGCTAATTAGTATATATTGGATTGGATAGAGAATTTAATAAAAAAAAATTTAAAAACATAGTTAAAATCTAGACTATAAGAAATATTATAAAAATAAAATAAATTGTGTGGTATTAACATCATCACATTTTTTTAGGGTAATTTTTTAATATTTAATTAAGATTTTTTATAATTTATAAAAGATTTAATATTCTTTTAATCTTATTATTCTAGGAATTATTTTAGTTTAATAAAAAAAGTTTATATTTATACTTTAATAAATAATTTTGTTGTTCCTTTTAGATTGACGGTACATTGGAGAAGTGTTCAAAATTAATCTAACTTTCTTAAGTTGTATGAAGGTGCGGAAAAGACACATGTTGGATGCGATGTTTCAGCATATGAATATGACATTTGAGCCTTGTACAACAGGTTATTCCTGCTGCATTTTGCTAGATTTTCTAGTTAAAGAATGAATCATATTTTATTGGTATTGTTTTATCAATATGATTAGGTGATTTGTTTGACAGTTAGACGAAGATTGACTCATATTTAAATGAAGATCTAAACTTGAATTTAATTGAAACAAATCGTATCTTGTCGGAGAGATATATGGAATAGATTATATCCAACTAATTCTGCATTAATTCGGAACAAAACCAAAACTATTATCCAAGAAGAAACGCTCAAAGTTATTATGCTATATAAAGAGTTCAAACCTACATTGGAAAACAAACAATACATTGAATATTTTAAAGTGGTATTTGGGTCCTTATTATTGATGTATGTACACCATTATGTTTTAGTAACTTGTCATAGTTGGTTTGTCTAGAGTTTAATGGTAGTATTCAATATTGATTATTGATTTATAATCTCCAATCACAGGTTGTATGATTGAGGAGAAAGTGAGTATGTTCTCATGTTTAGTAGGAGCCCTAAATAGAAAGTCATTGGATTGTGTTAGGAAGAGGTATTGAAAAACATATGGTTTGTTGTTGTTTGTGAAACTAATTGTACTAAACTACTAAAAGTGAATTTCATTTTCTGGACTGTGGACTCAACACCCTAGACGTAGGTGTCGTTTCACCGAACTGGGTAAACAACTTTCATGTTATTTATTGCTTTTCTGCTCTACAATCTAATACTTGCTATTGTGGTGTTTCTGGTTTAACTTGTCGAAGCAGTTGTCTAGGACATCGTGTTTGACATTTGTTCCCTTAGGAACAAGATTTTAATTGGCATCAGAGCAGACACCTTAGCCTGTTGGGTGAGCTCCAGGGAAGATAAATTTTGCTCAAATAAATACAATTAAAGATTAAGGATCAGTCAATAAATGACTTATTTTGGATGACACCAATTATGATTATTGGAAGGTTATGATAGTGGCGTTTCTCAAATCCATGTTACTACAAAAAATACATTTAGCATCGGCTACAAAGGCGAGGTAACGAAAGACGTTATGAAAAATGGCCACTTTACCCTTCAGTTTTTAAATAACTGAGGGATAAAGTTATCTCCGCATAGATTTGATCCCCATCATCCGCCTTTTTAATATTTCCAGAGTTGGATGACGCATCCAATATTAAATCTCGGTTTTGTGTCAGACCAAGGTAATAACGCATTATTCTTATCTCGGTTATAAGAAAAAACCGATAGGTAACATGATATATATATATATATATATATATATATATATATATATATATATATATATATATATATATATATATATATATATATATATATATATATATATATATATATATATATATATATATATATATATATATATATATATATATATATATATATATATATATATATATATATATATATATATATATATATATATATATATATATATATATATATATATATATCCTTGGTTATAGTTTTGATGAAGACAAATACATTAGCAAAAAGAAGCTAAAGCTTAAAGACTAGATCTATCAAGTTCAAATGATCATAAGTTTTGGAAAGTCAATGGAAGAATCAAGATGGTAGAATATACTTTACAATTCAAGTATATATATATATATATATATATATATATATATATATATATATATATATATATATATATATATATATATATATATATATATATATATATATATATATATATATATATATATATATATATCAAAATTATCATAATCATTTCATCTTGATGCATAAAACTCATTTTGATAACTTATGTGTATGCATCATAACATTTCTTAAAGTATTTTTCATTTATGCATCATGTGTAACCGATTACACAATGTTGTTAATCGGTTACAAGAACGAAATTTAACTTCTTTCAAAATTGAATTTGTGTAACGGGTTAACCAGTTCCTGTTATTTGGTTACCTATAACCGATTATACAATTTCTAGTAAACAGTTACACATACAAAAATATCAATTCTTTGTTATATTGCTTCAGGTGTACCCAGTTACACCATTTCTATATATATATATATATATATATATATATATATATATATATATATATATATATATATATATATATATATATATATATATATATATATATATATATATATATATATATATATATATATATATATATATATATATATATATATATATATATATATATATATATATATTCATTCATGTGGTTTCAATTTTTCAAATAAATACTCTTAGACACAAAACCTTTACATTTCAAAAGAGATTCTTTGATATACAACTTTCACATCTCATAATCTAAACATGTTTCTAAATTTTCAAATATGAAACTATCTGCATGAACTTTCATACATATTTATTAAAGTTTCATTCATATTATTCTGAGCACTTAAGTGTATATGTTTGGATTGTTATCATTACAAAGAGAAAACTAATTAACACATAATTGATTCAAGAGCTATAACTTCTGTTACAAACTCGAATTTGTGTATACCTTGTTGTCCAGGATTGTTTGAAACAAGAGAGTGAAAAAGAAAGGATTGTTTTCTTTTCTCTTGTGTTGTTTATGTCAGAAGATTGTAGGATAGGTCTTGGTGGAAAACTTGTATAAAAATATGACATTGTGGAAAATATCTCACAGTGAGTGAGGGGACTAAAGTACTCTCGGATTATAAGAGAAACCAGTATATATCATTGTATCATTTAATTTCTGCATTTATTTTTCAGCATATTTATTTTCATATCAGTTTTGAAAAATAACTAACCAGTGTTAACGCTTCAAACTGAGGAAAGTTTAATAAATCTCATTCACCTCCTTCTTAGAGACCGCACATAAACTAACAATTTGTATCAGAGCAGGTTCAGAATGCGGTCCAGTGAATCAATCCTTGCTTTATAAAATATATTTGTTCACTTAACCAATCACATGATTGCTCTCGGTAAGACTTTTACTGACGAATAATTAAATCTTAAAGTGCTTAGGTCCTTAACCAGTGAATGACAACCAAAGTTGACGATGTTATTAGAAAAAAAGAGTCTTTCTACCATGACTTTCGCTTCCTTGTTCGGAAAACTTCAAGAGCATGAAATATAACTTGAAAGATTAGAGAATCATGAAATGCAAGTGAAAGATTCAAAAGATGTTGTATTAAAGACAATAGTCAAATTTCATGATAGCAATCAAGAGGAGGAATCCACTAACAATGATGATAATATTATCAAAACGTTTGAAAAGTTCTTGAGAAAAGAAAGGAAAAAGGAGATTATTCGAAAAGAAGCACCAACAAAGAGAGTTACTTGTTTTGAATATGAAAAAAAAGAAGACATGTTAATAGTGAATGTCCTACACTTGAAAATAAATAAAAATTCAAAAGCAAGAATCACAAAAGGAAAATAAAGCATATGTAGCATGGGATGACATTAAAATAATTTCATCTTCATATGAAGATCATGCATATAAGGCATTGATGGTCTCACGTCATTCAAGTGATGAAGAACATGAGGTTAGTGATTCTGAAATTGATGGTATTTCATCTTATGATGAATTAAAAAGTGATTTTCATGAATTACATGATGAACTTTTGAAACTTTCTAGAAAATGTTCAAGTCAAAAGAAAACTATTTTAAATCTAGAAAGAAAGACTAATAACACTCAAGTAGAGTTAGACTTAATAAAAAATCCAGCATGCAATAATTGTTCATCTCTTGAGTCTAAAATTATTGAATTCAACCAAGTAATTATTAAATTAAAAAAAGGTCAAATTGATTTAGAAAATGTGTTAAGTATTAAAAAAACTTTAAATTATAAATGTGGTCTTGAATTTACTAACTTTGATAAACCTAGTACAAGTCAAACCATATTTATAAAGGCTACTGATGAATTCAACAGAAGAAGTCATCATAAAAGGTTTTATGATAGAAATCATGTTTTTAGACCTACTTGTTTCTATTGTAAAGAAAAAGGCCATACTACTAATGCTTGCTACATAAAAAATCATGGTATTTCTTATAATAAATATGTATGGGCGAGGAAGGCATCTAAACCAAAAGAATCCAAAGAAAACTGGGTACCTAGATGTAACTAATTATTTTTGTAGGTACTTGAAGGTCATATACTAGCATTGTTAAATCAATATTGAAACTTCAAGACACAAGA